TCCTAGGCGCTGAGGTTTTACCCACAGCGCCACCTGCGTCCCTCCCTCTGTGCTTATAGGAACATAAATAGAGCCCAGCAGGATCAGGCCGCAGACCCCACTCTAGACCAACATCCTGCTCTCACAGTGGAAGAGACAGGAGATAGGAGACAGCACCCTCCCTACATATTGCCTCCGACAGTGGAGGTAGAGCAAATTGTTACAGATTTTTTGGGAGGGACCGAAATTAGAAATGAATAAATGGTAGGATTTTGATTACAGTGGTACCTTGGTTTAAGAACAGCTTAATTTATGAACAACTTGGATTAAGAATGCTGCAAACCCAGAAGTAGGTGTTTAGGTTTGTGAACTTTGCCTTGGAAGCAGAACATGTTTGGCTTCCTGTTGAGTGTGTTCCATTTGTAATTTGAGGCCCCCGCTGCTATGGGAAAGCACACCTTGGTTTGAGAACGCTTTGGTTTAAGAATGGACTTCCGGAACGGATTAAGTTCGTAAACCAAGGTACCACTGTATTTGGGAGAAATGCAAGCTGCATAGGTATTCCTGAGCTAGCCAATGCAAAACGGCCGTTAAGAAACAACACAGGCCACTGAGGGCCATTGGCAATGCTGTCCTCCCCCCTTGCCTTCAGGTATGAACAGAGACTGGGGGTTTGGAGGTTGCCAGGGTAATTGGGTGTCAGGTGTCAGGAAAAGAGAGGTTTCTAGTTGTTGTTTTTAGCAAGGTGGTCTGGGAAGAAGGAGGAGGAAGGAACACTGGGATCCATCTTGGGCAGGCTGGCTGAAGTCTGGCTGGGAGAGATGCCGTAAGGGATAAGCCCCTCTTGAAATGACCATGCTGCAAGATCTGGACACCTTCCATGCAGACTAAAGGTGTAAATAGGTGAATAAACCATATTGGGTAAAGCTACGATATTTTTCCACTGTGTCTCAATTCTCCAAAGGGACAGAGACCCCGGGTGATCTCCTGGATCCCACAGGAATCTTGCAGGGAGTGGGGGTGGCACACAACTTTTGTAACAATAGCCGCTGTGGCTGGTGCCTGCTTACAGCCTTAAAGGTAAAGGTAAAGGGACCCCTGACCATTAGGTTCAGTCGCAAATGACTCTGGGGTTGTGGCGCTCATCTCGCTTTATTGGCCGAGGGAGCCGGCGTACAGCTTCCGGGTCATGTGGCCATCATGACTAAGCCATTACTGGCGAGCCAGAGCAGCGCATGGAAACGCCGTTTACCTTTCCGCTGGAGCGGTACCTATTTATCTACTTGCACTTTGAGGTGCTTTCAAACTGCTAGGTTGGCCGGAGCAGGGACCAAGCTCACCCTGTCGCGGGGATTCGAACCTCCGACCTTCTGATCGGCAAGTCATAGGCTCTGTGGTTTAACCCACAGCGCCACCCATGTCCCTTATGGCCTTATCCTCCATTAATTTGCCTCCCCCCTTCTTAAAAATGAGAGAATGGCTAAGGAGAGCATAAGAAGGGCCTGCGGGATCCATGCTGGCCCATCTTGCCCAGCATCCTGTTCTTACAGTGGCCAACCAGATGCCTCATTGAGCGCAACAGCCATTCCCCCCCCCACGTGATTGCCAGCAACTGGCATTCAGGAGCACTCTGGCTAGCAGCCATTGAATTTTGGTGAATAATCTGCTTTTAGCCCTTTTCCCCCTCGCCCCGCCCTCAGCGTCCCCCAGCTGTCAGGAAAGTTAGCCGAAGGCCATAAAATCCAAGCGCCTGCCCCCGCCAGCCTTTGCTCGCTCTCACGCAAGGATTTTATTCTTCTTGCAAGAGGGAGGGTCAAGTTGGTTTGGCTTCTGTTTAAGCGGGGCTTGTTTTTCCTACAGGGCGTAAATCAGCCAAAAAGGGTAACTCCTCCTCCGAGGTGCAAAGGAGCTGCAGCACGCAATCTGGAAGACAGCGGTTAGCGAGAGGACAAAAGCATCTGGGAATGATGGCTGTCCAGGGAATACGTACAAAAGGGACCCCCCCCCCCGAGAAAAGGAAGGGAAGGGCGGAGCAAGGGGGGTGTTGGGACAGCCCCCGCCAAAAGGGAAAGAATAACTAGGCTCCTAGAAAACCATCGCTATTTTGCTGATAGGGATACTGGCAAACTCTAGTTGCACAATGAAAAGGCCTCTTGCAGATGTCCTGTTTATTGCAGATTTGTGAAGATTTGGGAGCAACTCCCATCAAAAGTTCACTGTCTATTTAACTTATGATACAATGGTAGGCATGTTTGCTCAGATCAGGTGTTTGCCCTCTGGGTCTTGCTGAACTACAACTCCCACCAGCCCCAGCTAGCATGGCAGCTGTAGTTTTAGCTTAGCAACATCTGGAGGGCCACAGGTTGCCACACCTGATTTAGAATTGTTATTTTTATTGCTGCTGTTGTTGAATTTGTATACTGCCTTATACCCGCGGTCTGCCTTATACCCAAACTCCCAGGATAAGGGGCTATAGGATTGCAGCCAAGGTTTTGGTTTAGGGTTCCATTTGGGAAAATCAGGCCTCTCACTCCTTCAATGGGTCTGGCAGGAATTCAACACGTTGAGCCTTAATGTGAGAGCTGCCACACCTAAAGCCGAAGTAGTGGTCAGAGGGGTGGTTTTCCGATGCAGAGGTCACTGTCCCTAACCGAGAGGTAGCAACAGAGAGGGTGGCACGGTGTGGATGCAGTGGCAGAACCGGTATCACATTCCCTCCACTGTGCCCACACTGCACCAGCTGGTCAGATCGCAAAGGGCAAGGTGTCAGCAAGGTGGGCACCATGCTCTTCACTATGCCACGGTGCCGGTCCCTCCTGCTTCCTCCCCCGCTCCATCAGATTAATTAGGCCAACCTGGTAGCATCTGCACGATGCATCAATTCCCTGGGCCCAGTGGATTTCAAATTCTGCCCCGCTCTTAACTCTCACAGCACACCATGTTCCCTTCAGGAGGCATTGCTGTCAAACCATGAATGCCCTGGGCTCTGTACCTCCCCCCCCCCCACTGCCACCTGCTTGCTCAGGAACACCAGTTCACTGGAGTAAGTGGATGACAGTGGATTTGTCAATGAATCCCGTGCCATCTGCGGCCGGCTTTCTCTGTGATCCGGATTTGGGCCTAAGTGCCCCTTTTGGCACTTGTAAACATGGTTACACGCAGAGACGCAGGAGGGGGATGTCCTGACCAAGATAACAGCTACACGGGCAGAAGACAAGATCTGTCCATTTCAGTGTCTTTCAATGTCTCGGTTATCCAGTTTTAAGTGCAGCTCCCCACATTTCCGTACTCCATAGGTGATTTTTCTATGAAAGCCCTCCTGAAAATCCACCAGCATTTTAGTTTAGCTGGGTTATATCTAGCTACCATTCTGCTTAAAGTAGACCCGCTGAAATCAATGGACCCAAGTTTTCTATTTGTTTGCATTTTATTTGCATTTACAGTGGTACCTCGGGTTAAGTACTTAATTCATTCCTTAGGTCCGTTCTTAACCTGAAACTATTCTTAACCTGAAGCACCACTTTAGCTAATGGGGCCTCCCGCTGCCGCCGCGCTGCCGGAGGCCGATTTCTGTTCTTATCCTGAAGCAAAGTTCTTAACCTGAAGCAATATTTCTGGGTTAGCAGAGTCTGTAACCTGAAGTGTATGTAACCTGAAGCGTATGTAAGCTGAGGTACCACTGTATACCCCACCTTTTCCCTCATTGAATTCCCACAACAACCCTGTGAGGTAGGTAAGGCTGAAAGATTCTGACTGGCTCAAGGTCACATCCAGTGAGCTTCACAGCCAAGTGGGGGATTTGAACTCTGGTGTCCCAGGTTCTAGTCTGACTCTTTAAATGATATGCCACTTTTAGTCACGTCTATGGATCAATCACTTAGAGATGGTGCTTTAGAAGGCAATAAATAAATTAATTGCATCAATAACAGATAATAATAATAATAATGCCTGTTAACTTCTATGGGTCTACTCTGAGTAGGACAAACATTTCTTTACACAATTTTCCTGAATCTACACATTTTTGCAAGCAATTCTGCCTAATGCAACTTGCATTTTATGTTATTTTTCACCAGTTATACGCATGCTTGTGCAGTTATAGAAACATGTTTGCACACATTGTGTTGCATCCACATCCAATGTTAGTCCTACTCAGAGTGGACCCACTGTAATCAGCGGACCTGACTAAGGTCCATTCACTTCAATGGGTGTGCTCTGAGTAAAACATAGTTGTAAAACGTAAGTTAGTCGCGTGTGTCCATTAATTTCAACGGGTCCACTATGAATAGGGCAAATGTTGCATCCAGCCCATTTTTTTTTGTATGTTTGGAGAACTGCGTTGTAAAAAAAAAGGTGGGAAAAGTGAAGATTTTAAAGGACAGCTGCATTTTGGTCTGTGTATCCTTTCAGGAAGTGTAAATTAACTGAATTGCTCTCCTGTCTTTACATAGAATAAAGTTGGTCTAGGTTCCGAGGTTAAAACCTAGTGGCGCTAACTTTGAGACAGAAGTCCAGCACCCACTGTGCAGAAGGAGGAGAGTCCTCAAATACAGAAGCAATGCCCGACCACATTTTGAAGTAACTTAAACAATAATAATACACATGACTATCTAAGGATAGATCCCCCTTCGAAAAGACCACAAAGCCCAGAGTCTAATTGCACCGCTTATCAAAACCATCTGGACCCACAAAAGACTGCTGGACACAGGAGCACTCTTCCTGCTAATGAGACAGTGTCTGGGAACTTGGGCGCAGCAACAAGTGACTTGGGGAGAATGCTCTGCACATGTTCAGAGACACCCTTGTCAACCAACCCAACAGTTCTAAGGAAATTTAATCCTTGGCTGAGTGCCACACCAGATGGAAACAGCCGCATTCATGTTTCCCTGCACAGTCATAATCCAATCCCTCTCCTGCCAATGTTAACAGTGTGAGCAGGATAGAACAAAAGGCCAAGGGGCAGTGATCTAGAGCAAGTTTCACAAGTGTACAAACAATCAGGGAACATGTAGGCTGGTACTCACCTGCAGAAGAGTCTGGAAGGGCATGTTAGAAATTGGTGGAGAAGGAGGGAAGAAAAAGGGAGAGGAAAGAAACAGTGTTACTTAATTGGAGTTTATTCATAAAAACATCTAAGGCTGCTAGATGCAATTTCTGAATCCAGACACCAGTGAATCATAGAATCATAGAATCATAGAATCATAGAGTTGGAAGAGACCACAAGGGCCATCGAGTCCAACCCCCTGCCAAGCAGGAAACACCATCAGAGCACTCCTGACATATGGTTGTCAAGCCTCTGCTTAAAGACCTCCAAAGAAGGAGACTCCACCACACTCCTTGGCAGCAAATTCCACTGTCGAACAGCTCTTACTGTCAGGAAGTTCTTCCTAATGTTTAGGTGGAATCTTCTTTCTTGTAGTTTGGATCCATTGCTCCGTGTCCGCTTCTCTGGAGCAGCAGAAAACAACCTTTCTCCCTCCTCTATGTGACATCCCTTTATATATTTGAACATGGCTATCATATCACCCCTTAACCTCCTCTTCTCCAGGCTAAACATGCCCAGCTCCCTTAGCCGTTCCTCATAAGGCATCGTTTCCAGGCCTTTGATCATTTTGGTTGCCCTCCTCTGGACACGTTCCAGTTTGTCAGTGTCCTTCTTGAATTGTGGTGCCCAGAACTGGACACAGTACTCCAGGTGAGGTCTGACCAGAGCAGAATACAGTGGAACTCCAAGACTCAGGACTGTGCTAATAGTAACAATGGCATTCTGCAACCGACCCCATCCAAATTCTGCGACATGCATGCAGCAAACAAATGAAGCATTTGTAAAAAAAATAAATTGTTATGCCACAATAACTATTTCTGCAAAACTTTTTTCCGGGTGCACTAACCACATAGATGAGCTGTGCACTGTAGCCCTGTTCCCTATCCCTATCCCTGTTATAGCTTTGAGCTGCTTTTCAGCAAATTTCCCCCATGCGCTGTCAAATTTTAGCTGTGCAACCATGAGAACTAGAAACGTGCTCTCTTTTTCTTTCTTTCCAAAATGCAAGGTCAGATTCTCTGTAGGTGGAATTCTGTGAGCAACAACCAGGCCTGGCATAAGACCGCCAAATTTGCAGCCACATTTTCAGGTTATGGAAGCGGTGCGCTTTGGCGTATTTTGACAAGGGGTTTGGGGAGGTACAACATTCACTGGCAATCTCAGCAAACTGAGCTGGCAAAGAATTTACCCAAGACACTGAAGAGCCAATTAGATAAGACACTATTGGTCTTAATAGGCCAATGGGTGTAATTAGGACCTTCCTAACCCAGAGACCCAGAAACCAGGACCTTCCTAACCCAGAGACCCAGAAACCAAAACTGATCCACAGCAATTTAACATTAGCCTCCTGAATCGCTGGAAGATGCAATACTTATCGTGAGAAATAAACCCCACGGAACTCGAGAGGAATCATAATCTTTTGCTCAACTGGAACCCACAACCCTGGGATTAAGAGTCTTGTGCCCAACCAACTGGGCTATGTTTGCCATTATTTCTGAGTCAAGGGGAACAGCTTTAAATGAGAAGTGATTTAAAATAGTGTCATTCCCATTCCCATCTATCCCCCTTAACAAACTACAGCTCCCAAGATTCTATTATTATTATTATTATTATTATTATTATTATTATTATTATTATTTGCCAGAATGTGCTGCAAATGTGCTTTAAACGTATGGTGTGCACACAGCCTAAATATCCTTTGTAAACCTCTGCTTCTTTGCCTTGGAGGATGTTAGGGGAAGGCTGGATCCAGTTTCCCACAGATCGCAGCCAGTGCTGGAGAACGAACTCCCGTCTCTCCATCCCGCACATCTGTCCAACTGGCTTCCCCACCCTCCTCCTTGCCAGATGGCCCACGGCTTCTCCTGCATCAGCCAGCAGATGGGGAAAGGGCTGCAGTCTTGCGGCTTCTTCCTCCTCCTTCCCCCTTTCTTAAGTCTGGACCAGGTTGAAATGCGACGTTCCTTCCTTTGCTTGTCACAAGAGATCACAGCACCCCAAAGAGTCAGCGTAAGGGAGTGTCAGGAGGGAAAGAGGGGAGAGCTCTAGGAAATAAGTGACTCGCTTTCCTCGCGTTCCCAGTTGTTTTGGGGCTTTCTTTTCTTTCCCAGAATTTGAGCCCCTATTGACTTACTTACTTACTTACTAACTTATTAAATTTGTATACCACCCTCCACCCAAAGACCTCAGGGAGCTTCACAGCATAAGTAAACAAAACAATAACAATAACCCCCTGCCCCACTGCCACAAACACATTTAAAAGTACAATCCACAAAAGCACACCGCGACACCACCATAACAAGTCATGGCTTCCCCCTGCCCAAAGAATTATGGAAACTGTAGTTTGTTAAGGGTGCTGCTAGGGAGCTACAGTTTCCAGAGTTCCTTGCAAAGAGGGATTGATTGTTAAACTACGATGGGGGGGGAATAAGAGTGGGGAGAGTCTCCTGGCAACTCTCAGTACCCTTAGCAGACGACAGGTCCCAGAATTCTTTGGGGGAAGCCGTGAATGTTTAAAGCGTCATCATACTGCTTTAAATGCATGATGTGAATGTGGTCACAGTCGAAGCACCGTCATGTTCTAGGAGGATGGCCAAACCGATGGCTATGGGAAGCCCACAAACAGGGCTTGAGAACAACAGCACTTGTCTCTACCCTACAGCTGAGTGGGTTCTGAGAGCAGAGTGAGGTTGGTGGAGCACTAATGGACTAGACCCTGCTCTGCAGACAGAATTATAAATAAAATAGGGCTAAAGTCCTTCATAGGACACGAGTGGCGCTGTGGGTTAAACCACAGAGCCTAGGACTTGCCGATCAGAAGGTCAGCGATTCGAATCCCCGTGACGGGGTGAGCTCCCGTTGCTCGGTCCCAGCTCCTGCCAACCTAGCAGTTTGAAAGCACGTCAAAGTGCAAGTAGATTAATAGGTACCGCTCCTGCGGGAAGGTAAACGGCATTTCCGTGCGCTGCTCTGGTTCGCCAGAAGTGGCTTAGTCATGCTGGCCACATGACCCGGAAGCTGTACGCCGGCTCCCTCGGCCAATAAAGCGAGGTGAGTGCCACAACCCCAGAGTCGGTCACGACTGGACCTAATGGTCAGGGGTCCCTTTACCTTTAAAGCCCTTCATTATGACGGGGTTTAAAAAGTCTCCGGCTCTGCCTCCTCCTCCTCTTGCTGATCAAAGCCCTGATTCCACTGCAGGAAGATCAGAGAGTGTGAAGAGCTGGCAATGTACTGTAGTATTTAGAGTGCCAGATTATGACCTGGGAGACCAGGAATCAAATCCCTGCTTGGCCATGAAGCTCACTGGGTGTGACCTTAGGCCAGTCGCTAAACTACTTCACGGGGTTGTCGTGGGGATTAAACAAGGAAGAACCATGTACATTTCAACCTGGTCCAGTCTTGACCTCCTTGGAGGAGTAAGCAGAATAAAATTGCAATTAAAAAAACAAATCTCTGCTCCCGCATCCTATGTGGCTGAAGTTTGGGTGGGTGGGGAGAGATCCCCACTCCTCCATCTTAGGCTTCAGATACACATGCCCAGACACAGACAGACACACAGACTGCTTCCTCCTCCTCTCAATCCAAGCCAAACCCCACTGGTGCTGTGGGGCTCATGACCGATGGTCATTTTTTTCTCATAACAGTTGGAAGACATCTGGCTGGGAGCAACGTATTGGACAGGATGGGCCTTGAGTCTGATCTAGCAAGCCTCATGGTCTTACGCCTTGGCGCACATGCGCTGTGACAGCCCATGCATGCACACTAGCCACAAGAACAGATTGCTGCCTGGCTCTCCTAGTCAAATCCTGGGACAGAGTAAAAGGGCGGGACATCATCACCATTGCCTACTTTCAGAAGCTTCCTTGAGCCACCAGCAATCATTCACGGCCGGTAAGACTCACCCGTTGCTGAATAAGTGCATGCTTGTGTTCCATTTCCCTCTTCTCCACAGCAGAGTCGATCACCAACTGGTCCAGCTACAAGCAAGAAGAGGGGGAGAAACACAGTTGTAAGTTTTTCCCCTCTGTCCCTTGCTTCATGCCTCTCTAGGCTTACCTGCACCAAGGGCTTAAAATGAGGGAAGATCGAAAGCACATTCGCTCTCCAAGCATGTTAATCATACGTAAAGAGTAAGCCTGTTATACTTACCCTCTGTACCTTGTAAGTATAGTAAGTGTACTTAATAGTTATAGGTGACGTCCACACTATATAGTCAAAGTACTCATATACCACTTTAAATAGTCATGGTTTCTCCCAGAGAATCCTGGGAACTGCAGCTTGTTAAAGGTGCTGGGAATTGTAGCTCTGTGAGTTGGGGGTGTCTCCTAACTGCTCTGGGCTCCTTTGGCAAAAAAAGGGCAAGATATAGCACACTTAAGATGGTGCATATAAACTTAACAGTGTTTAGTTTTTCTTTCGGTTGCTATATTGGTAATGTTGTTGATATTGTTTTATAGACTATAAGAGCTGTACTGATTTGTTAATCATACAATATGACTTTTGCTTCAATTGTGATGTGTGATGTATGTGTGTGTGTGTGTGTGTGTGTGTGTGTATATATATATATATATATATATTTTACTGGTTTTCAAATACAAAACAAAATTATACACTCCATACATCTTCGTTGCATCTTATTTCTCTTTTTTGTGATTTTTGTGTGTGATGTTTAGCTTATTTTTTAGTTGTGTTTTATAGATTGTAATTGTTTTGATTATTCTATATGATTTATGCTGTATTTGTGATATTCTATTATGTTCTGTCTTCTTGTTGCTGCTGATTGCTTGTAAGCCACTTTGGAATTCAGCCGAATGAAAGGAGGGACGGGGATATAACAAATCAAACCAATCAAATCAGTTCCCAGGATTCCTTGGGGAAGCTATGATGACTGAAGCGGTATAAAAGTGCTTTAAATGTATATATCACCTGGTATTTATATACTGCCCAATAACTGGGCAGTAAACAGGTTTAAAACTATGCAAACCAGCAGACACAAACGTGAAATCTAAAACAAAATAAAACCCGTCTAAGGGGGGGGGGGAGAGTAAAAATGTCTCTGGTTTTGCTGGCGAAGTAAAAAACTCATGTTAAGAATCTCTTGGCACAATACTGCACCCTTCACTTTTAAGACCCTAAATAGAGGCTGGATAGGCAAGGCAAGGGATGCCTCTCATCTGACTCTGAGGTCACATCCACACTGCACAATTAAACCACGCTTATAGCACTGCCAGTCATGGAATCATAGAATTGTAGAAAGTCACCAATGCAGGAATCTCAACTAGAACATAAATGGCAGGTGCCTATGAAATCTCTGCTAGATGGACCAATGGTCAGATTTTGAACTAGGCAGCTTCCAATCTGACATATCTAATGGACTGGCTCTGTATAAAGGAAGCTTCCTAGATTCTTTTGGGATGTGGAGCAGCTTGGTCCAACGGCCCCGATTCTATCAAAGCCAAACAATCGAGTTTGCTCCACTGCTTCCCAGCCACTCCCGCCCTCCTGAGCAAGGCCGAAGACGTCAAGAGAGACGCAGAAACCTTGCAGGGGCTGGCCAGGGCACAACTGCCACGTGAGGGCACCTGAGAGATTAGCACGCTGATGCTTTGCGACAGCTCTGAGGATTAGCTGGGAGGCTCTTATCCAGAGTTGACGTCAGGGGCACGAACGATCCCCACAGGGGCTTGTAGCAACAGAGGCCCAGAGGTGAAGGCCTTAAAGCAAGCATTGACAGGCCTATGGCAGTAGCTGCCAGGCCTTCCCCTCACAAGCACATCCCTACACCCCCAGGACCACTTGAAAACTGCCGAGGGTCTTGGTGGAGAGCCCTGAAATGGTTTTTTTTCTGCCTCTTGTTTCCTAGCAACTGAGCAACTACGGTGCACAGACCTATTAGAAAAGGGGTTCTGGTTATGTCATTGTTCCTTTGTGTTTCAAGTGACTCCTTCCCCCTGTCGTTTCTTCTCCTGCTTTCACCTTCCGGGAGGACCCACGGGTCTAAAGAATGATGGAGCAGCCATTACACACACACACACACACCCCCAATTTATAGTGATGTAGCCATAGCTGTCAACTTTTCCCTTTTTAAAAGGAAAATTCCTTTATTCCGAATAGGATTCCTTGCAAGAAAAGGGAAAAGTTGACAGCTATGGATGTAGCCAACGCTGGCCTTACTCGAAGTAGACCCATTGCTGTTCAAGAACATGGCTAACTTAGGTCCATTCTTCTTCCATAAGTCTGCTCCAAGAAGGATTTAGTTGGATGCAAGCCAATGTTTCCCGTTTCGCCCCAATTCTGTGTCCAGGGCAGCTGTCTACCAGCTCCATCTGGTACGCAGGCTGAGATCCTACCTGCCCGAGTGTCTTGCCAGAGTGGTGCATGCTCTGGTAATCTCCCGCTTGGACTACTGCAATGCGCTCTACATGGGGCTACCTTTGAAGGTGACCCAGAAACTACAATTAATCCAGAATGTGGCAGCTATACTGGTGACTGGGAGTGGCCACCAAAACCATAGAACACCGGTCCTGAACGACCTACATTGGCTCCCAGTATGTTTCTGAGCACAATTCTAAGTGTTGGTGCTGACTGTTAAAGGCCTAAACAGCCTTTGCCCAGTATTCCTGAAGGAGCGTCTCCACCGCCATCGTTCAGCCCGGACACTGAGGTCCAGCTGCAAGGGCCTTCTGGCGGTTCCCTCCCTGCGAGAAGTGAGATTACAGGGAACCAGGCCAAGGGCCTTCTCGGTAGTGGCGCCCACCCTGTGGAACTCCCTCCCACCAGATGTCAAAGAAATAAACAACTATCTGATGTTTAGAAGACATCTGAAGGCAGCCCTGTTTAGGGAAGTTTTTTAATGTTTGATGTTTTATCGTGTTTTTAATCATCTGTTGGGAGCCACCCAGAATGGCTGGGGAAACCCAGCCAGATGGGCGGGGTATAAATAATAAATCACTACTACTACTACCACCACCACCACCGAGAAACCCTGGTTAGCAAGTTCAGTACAAGCCAGGGCATTTGAAGGCTGAACTTGGCCCTGGCTCAATACCCTGGCTCATTCTGAAGCTCCTTACTTTCCTATCGCTTCTTACCTCAGTGGCCAGCTTCTTCATATAGGGGTCCAGTTCATGAAGGAGGCTGTAGCCCTGCTGGAAAAAGGTGTACTGAGCCTGCATGAAGGACAGCATCTGGAGGAGAAAAGAAGAACATGTCTATGGGTCTACTCTGAGTGGATGCCACCCATTGATCTAAGTGCATTTATTTGATTTTTTTAAAAAAAAACAACATGTATATACTGTTTGACTGCAATAAAACCTCCAAGAGCTTCACAAGAAAATATTAAAATTATAAGTAAAAACAGGTTAGAATGATTTAAAACATTTATAGTAATTAAAATTAATAGTAAAAAAAAATTTATTTACACACCAACATTTTTAATATTCTGCTGGAAGCCGCACAGAGTGGCTGGGGAGGCCTGGCCAGATGGGCGGGGGTTTGAGTAATAAATTATTATTATTATTATTATTATTATTATTATTATTATTATTATTATTATTACTTGTCAGTTTAGGCTTGCCTAAACAAAAATGCTTTAAGCAGGCATCAAAAGGAGTGTAGCAGAGGCAACTGGCTAATGTCAAAATAATTAAGGGCTTGATCAAACTAAGCCTTATTCTGAGTTCAGCCCACTGAAATGAATGGGCCTAATTTAAAGGTAAAGGTAAAGGTACCCCTGCCCGTACGGGCCAGTCTTGACAGACTCTAGGGTTGTGCGCCCATCTCACTTAAGAGGCCTGGGGCCAGCGCTGTCCGAGGACACTTCCGGGTCACGTGGCCAGCGTGACAAGCTGCATCTGGTGAGCCAGAGCCACACACGGAAACGCCGTTTACCTTCCCGCTGGTAAGCGGTCCCTATTTATCTACTTGCACCCGAGGATGCTTTCGAACTGCTAGGTTGGCAGGCGCTGGGACCGAGCGACGGGTGCGCACCCCGCTGCGGGGATTCGAACCACCGACCATGCGATCGACAAGTCCTAGGCACTGAGGTTTTACACACAGCGCCACCCGCGTCCTCTGGCCTAATTTAGACATGCCCATTAATTTCAATAGGTCTGCTCTGTGTAGGAGCAATGCTTGACACAACCGCAGATCTCCAGATCCTCAGTCTATCTTCTAAACCACTGAAGTTAACGTGCGTGACTAACTTAGGCCCATTACTCTGAGTAAGAGTGGGATGCGGGTGGTGTTGTGGTCTAAACCCCTGAGCCTAGGGCTTGCCGATCAGAAGGTTGGCGGTTTGAATCCCCGCGACGGGATGAGCTCCCGTTGCTCGGTCCCTGCTCCTGCCAACCTAGCAGTTTGAAAGCACGTCAAAGTGCAAGTAGATAAATAGGTACCACTCTGGCAGGAAGGTAAATGGTGTTTCCGTGCGCTTCTCTGGTTCGCCAGAAGCGGCTTAGTCATGCTGGCCACATGACCCGGAAGCTGTCTGCGGACAAACGCCAGCTCCCTCGGCCAATAACGCAAGATGAGCTCCGCAACCCCAGAGTCATCCGCGACTGGACCTAACAGTCAGGGGTACCTTTACCTTTTTACTCTGAGTAAAGCACAGCTGGATGCAACCTAAGAAGAGCCTGCTGGGTCAACACATATTAACTTAAAGGGCAGGAGAAAGTTGCCCACACAGCAACCTCCTTAGCAAACATGGCGTCCCTCTGCAAGGCATGCTGGGAGCTGCAATTTACCCACAGTTTGGGTGAAGCCAGTGGCAGCAAGGAGAGCTCAGAACAGTTCTTACCGCATCGAGGATTTCAAATTTCTTCTTGGCTTGGAGGACATTGATCTATAAGCAAAAGAAGAAGGGGGGGTGAGGTTTCTGGGTTGCCAACAGAGTAGCCAGCCTGCTCCCTGGGCACCCTCCAAAAATACAAGCAAGAGCCAGTAGAGGGCTAGACTATGAGCTGGGAGAGCAGGGTTTGAATCCCCACTTGGCCATGAAACTCACTGGGTGACACAGGGCAGGTCACGGTCTTTGCAGAAGTGCGAAACATTTTAGAGAGGGGGCGGGAATCCAAGGCAGAGTAGCTAACCTAAACAATGGCACTCATCTTCCGAATGGAAACAAGAGGGAAAGTTTGCTCTCAAAAAGTTGTAATGCTGGCAAAGTGCAGCACCACGGAGCCACCTTGTGGCAAAATTGAGATACTACTTCTGGTTGCTCCTGGTAGCCAAAATATATATGTATTTCCCAGATTCGCATCCTGTTGCTAAAATTGCTACAATGTGGATTTTTGAAAGCAAACGAAGAACGGCTTGGCAACGGTTGAGTTTGGCAAAAGGTTTTGTGTGCAGCCAATTTGTAGCAGGAAGGGCCACTTCAGAGAGGCTGGTTCCTATCTGAATAGCAAACCGAGCCAGAGAACATTTGGAGCCTGTCAGGCCCAGAGGCGAAATGGTGGTCCTCCAGATCTCTCTATCTAGGCCTCAGAATTTTCCCCACAACCCCTCTCCACAGACCCCCGCCCTTGAGTGTTATAGCCTGACTGGACTGTGTCCCTGAATTCCAAGAATGCCTCCTGTTTGCAAAGATGATGAAGGATGTTTCTAGAAACTAGCCCACAGTACAAAGGTAATATTTACATTTACAGCCCTTGCTCAGCCCACTTTTGACTCTAACCCTGCCCAGCATTGGGACACGGCCCTTGGGAGATTGCCCAGAAGGAAACATGGCCCTCAGACTGAAAAAATGATCTCCACTCCTGCCATTACAGTTACATATGGGATTATTAGGTTTGAACAGCACAAGCTACTTCCTCCATGTGACCTTTTTTAAAAAAACAGCAACAGGGTTAGATAATTCATGGTGGGTAGATCTATCAGAAGCCATCAACTGTGATAACAAAATGGAGCCTCCATGTTCAGTAGCAATATACTTCCGAAAACCAGAAGCCCTAGAGAAGCAAGAAGGAAAAACTGCCTTGTCCTTAGGAATGGGCAAATCTGTCAATTTAGGTTTCTCTCAATTTCCTAACTTCAATTCCCCACATTTTTACATCTGGTTGATTTCCTCATGAAAATTCACAGAGCCGATCTGAGTTGGATTCAACCCTGTATTTCCATATGGAATTACAGTGGTACCTTGGGTTAAGAACTTAATTCGTTCCGGAGGTCCATTCTTAACCTGAAACTGTTCTTAACCTGAGGTACCACTTTAGACAATGGGGCCTCTACTGCCGCCACACTGCCACTGTGCAATTTCTGTTCTCATCCTGAAGCAAAGTTCTTAACCTGAGGTACTACTTCCGGGTTAGCGGAGTCTGTAACCTGAAGCGTCTGCAACCTGAAGCGTCTGTAACCCGAGGTACCACTGTATAAAGATTTTAAAAGAAGTGGGATAGACACTTTTATCACCACCACCACTTATTACAGTGGTACCTCGCAAGACGAATGCTTCACAAGACGAAAAACTCGCAAGACAAAAAATTCGCAAGACGAAAAACCTCGCAGAACGAATTAATTTCGTCTTGCAGGGCACCACTGTATTACATTTATATCCCATTCTTGACTCCCAGGGAGCTCAAGGTAGCATACCCACTGCTCTGCCTCTCCATTTCAACTCTGCACAACAACCCTGTGAGCTAGGTTAGGCTGAGAGGCAGTAGCTGGCCCAGCCCCCAATGGGTTCTATGGCTTCCATGGGACCATCGACCCCAGGCCATGAAATGAATAAACAAAATCAGTTGGTGCATAATTATGGTGACTCCTGGGAGCTAGACACTTTCCCCAGCCCCATTTTGTCACCAGCGGAGGCAAAGAGGGCAGTTCTGACGTACGGGACCACCTCTCCTGGTATGTCCCACAGAGGACCTTACAGTCTTCAACCAAAAACATCTTGGAGATCCCGGGCCACAGAGAGGTTAGGCTGGCCTCAACCAGAGCCAGGGCTTTGTCAGCTGTGGCCCCGATCTGGTGGAACGCTCTGTCACAAGAGACTAGGGCCCTGCGGGACTTGACATCTTTCCACAGGGCCTGCAAGACGGAGCTGTTCTGCCAGGCCTTTGGCCAAGGCACAGCCTGACCCCCTCCTTTGGTAATCCTCACAGAACTCTAGCCCAATGGTTGCCATTAATTTGATTTTGAATTGATTTTAGAATGAATTGGTTTTAGAATGCTGTGTTACTTTTATTGTTGTTAGCCGTTCTGAGCCCAGCTTCAGCTGGGGAGGGCGGGATATAAATAAAAATTTATTATTTTTATTATTATTCAACATCTTCTCTTCCTCATCTCTCCGCCCCCCCCCCCCCGCTCATCCCTGGTGATCAACAGGATATGACAGCCGTTAGCTGTCCCAGGATGAGACAGAAGGTGTCAGCAGATGGTTTCACTATAAAAGGGTGGGAAGGGGGGGGGAGCTAATGGAACAGCTTGGATCAATATTAGCTTTGACTCTAGTTTGTTGCACAACACAAAGCCATTACAAGTGACGCGGGAGGAGAAATCGGTCCGGAAATCACTTCTCAGGAGAGTAACGATTCCACAATTCCCGAGGGAAGGTTGGCAGGAAAAGGCTTGATGTTGAGCAGCAGTCCAGTCCTTGCAAATACATGTCCAGTCAAGATGCTACCTTATATCAGGCCAGAGGGTTTCCTCCAACACTAGCCCTGCTCAGAGTAGTGGCGTTTATTACGTTTACCTTTCCTCCAAGGCAATGTACATTGATCCTCACAACAATTCTGTGAGGTAGGTTAAGCTGAGAGCGAGTGACTGGGCCAAGGTGAGCTTCAAGGTCTCCCAGGTCCTTATCCAACATTCTAACCACTACACCACACTGCCCATGGCAGATCCATTTATTTCAATGGGTCCATTCAGAATTGGATTATTATTAAAAATTTACACACCGCTTAATTTATAAAAGAAACCTCAAAGCTGCTCACAAAACTATAAAACGCAACATTAAAAGTGTCTATAAAAGAATTAACAACAGCTATTTAGAATAATATAATTGTAGAGTTGGAAGGGGTCCTAGGGTCATCTAGTCCAACCCGCTGCAATGCATGAATCTTTTGCCCAACGTGGGGCTCAAACCCATGACCCTGAGATGAAGAGTCCCAAGTTCGACTTGGGAGAATTTCAGCCTTAGCAGAGCTGTCTAGGGGAAGACCTCACCTGTAAGACGTAGTCGAGGGCTAAGTGTCGGAAGCATTTCCTGGTGATTGTCAAGGTGCCAGTGGCCTCTTCGACCTCATGGGGCTTGTGCCGCGGAGCTTGTGCATTCTTGACCAAGGCAATCTCCATGTCTTCCCGTACCTTATCGAACTGTTTTTTGGTCTCCTTGAATTTCCGGACGTCACTGCAAGGTAATTTTACTCATTTACGAATGTGCTTCCCGTTAAAAAAGAAAGAGAGAATCTGTTTACTTACCAATTGCTTCCCATTGAAGAAATAAAGTAAAAGCATCATGCAACAAAAAGAATTCGAAAACAATGCTATATCTAAAAGCAAGGAAAACGTTAAGAAGAGCCTGGCTGCTGTATCAAGCCAAATGGCCCATCTAGTCCAGCACTCTGTTCTCACACTGGCCAACCAGATGCCCCAATGGGAAGCGCTGTCCTTTTCTTTCTTTCTTTTTTCCAATTTTTAAAATTGATTTTCCATATTTATAAACAGACAAACAAACAAACAAACAAACAAACATAAATCTTTAGTAATTCCACTTTTGTTTACATTGTTGAGTGACTTCCTTGACTCCCCTAGCTGAGTTTCAATGTATATCATTGTAACAGTTTTCCAAAACTATTTTCACATAAAATTTACTTAGTCAATTAACATCTTTCTTTCTTTTCATTTTAACTTTAAACATATTATTCCATAACATCACATATTTAAATCCTAGGCCAATCTGGTACTTGCAAGTATTTCTATTTAGATTATCTTAGCATATTTAGCTAAATAGTCTTTAAATTTCTTCCATTTATCCTGGTACTCCTCCTCCTTCTGGTCACGGACTCTTCCGGTCAGGTCAGCTAGCTCCCAAAAGTCCACCATCTTCATCTGCCATTCCTCCACTGTTGGCACTTCTTGTGTTTTCCAATTTTTAGCCAGCAATGGAAGCACTGTCATTTTCTAGCTGCTTTACAGCACCTGCTCTTTCTTTTATTTTCACTTTCCTAGTCCTCATGGAAACATACAGCTGGAGTAGACACCAAGCCTGCCCCCCACATGTGCAAAGAGGATTGTGAAGGGGGGCGGGGGGCCTATTCCAGCTGCTCCAGCTGCTCTGCTAACATTATAGGGCAGCAATCATATCCATAATCTAGACGGCATGTAACCCCATGCATACCTTAGCCTTCTTCCCCAGACAGAAAATTAAGAATGCAGCTCAAAAGGGATTATATCTGTGGAAATTATTTTTTTGCTAAAGGGTCCCCAAGCCCAAAGAATTATGATTAGTTACATTTTTTTATTATTTCACCCTTCTTCTAAAGGTCTCAAGGAGGGGTATGCAGCAGATTTTCCTAGCCTTGGGTCAGCAGAAGTTCCCGCATTGCTCGGGGTTGGACTAGATGATCCACAGGATCCCTTCCAACTCTAGAGTTCTATGAATTTATGGTCTACAAACAGCCACACAGGCTGGCAGGCATGAGGGACGGGAACCAACATACGAGGTCAAGCATGGATCCAAAAACTGGCTTTCAAATCCCCTCTTACTCATCCTTCTTGCCCCACCAAGCGGTTATGTCAGCCGGAATTTAAGCACCTCAGAAATTTTGGGGAAGGTGAAGGACGCCTGAACTCCTTCAGCAGCACGGAGAGTGCTAGGAGGTCCATGTTCCCCCCTTGTTCTCCCCCTCCCACCCACTTGATGAAGTCGCCTGGAGTGCCTGACAGGCGCTGCGTCTACGGCCTGTTCCCATAGAAACAGGCTCTTACTTAGCTGAAGGCCTCGGCTGCCTCACTGACCTATATTCTGTGGCTTACGATGTCGTCTCCGTACCTGCCCCTGTTTCTTTTATTTAAAGAGGATTAGGAGCTCAAAGGAGGTGTGTGCCCTCCACAACATTAGGAACTCAGGAAGTTGGCCTGTTCTGAATACACCCAGCTGAGGGCCGTCAACACTGACTGGTAGCGCTTCTCTTCCCAACCCTACCTGTTGAACCTGGGACCTTCTGCATAAGATGTCAGCAGGCCTTGCTCATGCATGTCCAAGGAAATGTTTGCAATCATAAGGACTACAAACCTGCCAATTAAGGACCATAGGTAAAGGGACCCCTGACCATTAGGTCCAGTCGTGACCGACTCTGGGGTTGCGACGCTCATCTCGCTTTATTGACTGAGGGAGCCGGTGTACAGCTTCCAGGTCGTGTGGCCAGCATGACTAAGCCGCTTCTGGCAAACCAGAGCAGCGCACGGAAACGCTGTTTACCTTCCCGCTGCAGCGCTGCCTATTTATCTACTTGCATTTTGATGTGCTTTCGAACTGCTAGGTTGGCAGGAGCAGGGACTAAGCAACGGGAGCTCACCCCATTGTGGGGATTTGAGCTGCCGACCTTCTGATCAGCAAGCCCTAGGCTCTATGGTTTAACCCACAGCGCCACCCGCGTCCCATTGAGGAACATAGGCAGCTGCAATATACAGCCATTGGGCCCATCTAGCTCAACAGCATCTACACTGACTGGCTGCAGCTGTCCAGGGTTTCACAAGGGGGAGATTCCCAGCCCTACCACGAGACGCCAGAGATTGAAACTGGGGCCTTCTGCATGCAGAGCAGATGCTCCATGGCTGAGCTGCACCCCTTCCCCTCCTGCAAGAGACTTCCTTATACTATTGGTCCATGTAGGTCAATAGTGTCTACATTGACTGGCAGAAGCTCTCCGGGGTTTCAGGCATGAGTTCTTCCCGACTCTACCTGGAGAAGCTGGGTAATGAACCCAGGACCTTCTGCATGCAAAATCAGATGCTCTGCTACTAAGCCATTGCCATTCTCCTTTCCCACCGATGAAAATAAGGGTAATTATGTTGATGCGTCAGTGTTTGAGCTCATCTGCAGTACACATTGCTCTTCCGTGCTTGCTATATACAGCGGTACCTTGGTTTTTGAACGTAATCCGTTCCAGAAGACCATTCGAGTTCTGAAACGTCCCCAAACCGAAAATGCAATAGCCGACAGCTAGGCCTCAGGAGCTTGCATTCAGCGGAAAATGTGTGGCATGTTCAACTTCTGAGGTGTGTTTGAAAACCAAAGCATTTACTTCCAGGTTTACGGCATTCGAAAACAGAAATTCTTGTCAACAGAGACGTTCAAAAACCGAGGTACCACGGTATATGGTAAGGTGATCATACCACTTTACTTAAAAAAGCAAAAGGGTATTTAAGATTGCATCCTGCTCAGAGTAGATCAATTGACATGATTAGGTCTACTCATTTCAGTGGGTATACTCTGGAGCAAGATGCAGTTGGATATAGACCCCGCCGCACACTCACACATGTATAATCTGCAACCAAACATTGCAGAACAGAATACTCCTCTTCAGGATTCCAGACATCCCTTTCTTTCTTCCACCTAGTTTTGTGATTCTCCTCTGCAGTCATCAGTTCAAATTGATGTGCTTCTGTAATTCCTGGGGGACCACCCCCACCTCGCAGCCCATCCTTACAGCCATCCTGGAGGCCAGTGTGGTGTAGTGGTTAAGAGCGGTAGTCTCGTAATCTGGGGAACCGGGTTCGATTCCCTGCTCCTCCACATGCAGCTGCTGGGTGACCTTGGGCTAGTCACACTTCTCTGAAGTCTCTCAGCCCCACTCACCTCACAGAGTGTTTGTTGTGGGGGAGGAAGGGAGAGGAGAATGTTAGCCGCTTTGAGACTCCTTTGGGTAATGATAAAGCGGGATATCAAATCGAAACTCTTCTTCTTCATCCTAACAGATCTTCCAGTTGATCTCACCTGGTTATTATCAATGGCATGTGCTGTGGTCCACTATGACAGATTCAGCCCTCCCCTCCTTCAAAATATACACACACAAAAGAAACAGATACTCACTCTTTCACGAAATTGTGCAACTGTTGCCGGACAGACCTCTGAGCCTGGTCGAAAAGGATCTAAGGCAGAGGGAAGAGGAAGCAGGGAAGAGAAAGAAAGTAATAATATGTGAAGAAAACTCACTTAATCCAAAATCTTAAATGTCACCAGACAGCACGGGAGCAGAGGGACTGCTGAGAGTTGTGTTCTTCTAGGGATTGCCCCAGAAACGCTTCCCAATAGGATAAAACTGTTGAATGGTCACTGTAAAATGTGAAGGTTCATTATTGTTTCACAAGTTGTGTATGTCTTTAAGGGCCAGGGCAAATAACAAGACCCAGTCTTGCAGCTGTGAAACATAGCAGGTGCTGCTAAGTTGTGTTAATTAAGCTGTGTCAGCATTTGGGCATAGTACCGTATTTTTTGCTCTATAAGACGCACCAGACCACCACAAGTTTTTGGAGGAGGAAAACATGAAAAATATATTCTGAATCTCAGAAGCCAGAATAGCAAGAGGGATCACTGCGCAGTGAAAGCAGTGATCCCTCTTGCTGTTCTGGCTTCTGGAATAGCTGCGCAGCCTGCATTCGCTCCATAAGACGCACACACATTTCCCCTTACTTTTTAGGAGGGAAAAAATGAGTCTTATAGAGCAAAAAATACGGTATATAAGGAGCAGCACCTAGCTCTCCCATTACCCTGGGGGATGGGTTGGTGGTTGGGTCATGTTTGTTGTTGTTATCTTTAGTGTAAAAGGAGTTTTTGTTTTGTTATTAAAACCTTGTTAAAGTTATTTTTCAGTTCCTTGTTATTTATGGTCTCCCCAGCAAGCTCTCTGCAGCGCTACTAAACTGCAAATAACCAACAAAAACCACCTCTAAGACCATAAAACGAGCCCTGCTGAATCAGGCCAAAGTCCTGCATCCTGCTCTGAGAGAGAGCAGAACTTGAGCACAACAGCACCGCTTCTGGTGCTGCTGGAACAGGTCAAAGGCCCACCTAGTCCAGATTCCTGGTCTCACAGTGGCCAACAAGACGCCTCTGAAGAGACTGCCAACAGTACCTGTGAGTCCAAAATTGCTCTACCCACTTGTGACCCCCAGAAACTGGTGTTCAGAAGCAGGCTGCCAGCTAGTGCAGTTTATTTTGTTATTTTTTTTAAACGGAGGTGCTCGCATCTTGATAGAAGTGCCATGGGTGTCGGCACAAAATGGCGACCAAGGACAGAATGAACGTCTGTGTCTCCAATTCCTCCCTCCCACTCGGGTCTTCTTGAGAGGCACTTCAGCTGCCAAATGTTTTGCGCAGAACTACTTCTCAAATGTTTTGTGCAGAACTGGGACGTGGGTGGCACTGTGGGTAAAACCTCAGCGCCTAGGACTTGCCGATCGCATGGTCGGCGGTTCGAATCCCCGCGGCGGGGTGAGCTCCTGTCGTTCGGTCCCAGCTCCTGCCCACCTAGCAGTTCGAAAGCACCCTTAAGTGCAAGTAGATAAATAGGTACCGCTTACTGGCGGGAAGGTAAACGGCGTTTCCGTGTGCTGCTCTGGTGCTGGTTCGCCAGAGCAGCTTCGTCACGCTGGCCACGTGACCCGGAAGTGTCTGCGGACAGCGCTGGCTTCCGGCCTCTAGAGTGAGATGAGCGCACAACCCTATAGTCTGTCAAGACTGACCCGTATGGGCAGGGGTACCTTTACCTTTACTTCTCAAATATTTTGAACAAGGTCTGTCTACAGTGGTACCTCGGGTACATACGCTTCAGGTTACATACGCTTCAGGTTACAGACTCCGCTAAGCCAGAAATAGTACCTCGGGTTAAGAACTTTGCTTCAGGATGAGAACAGAAATTGCACAGTGGCGGTGCGGCGGCAGCAGCAGGAGGCCACATTAGCTAGAGTGGTACCTCAGGTTAAGAACAGTTTCAGGTTAAGAACAGACTTCCAGAACGAATTAAGTTCTTAACCTGAGGTACCACTGTATATTTGAATTCCTCATTTCTACCAGTAGAGGGCACCATCTTCTCATGCTCCAACTTCTACTGGCGCCATATAAAGAAGGCTGCCCCCTTTTGTCAGGCAAAACTGACAACGCTATTTGCATAGAAACATCGAACCAATAAGCGTTTAGCTAGAACTATATAATAAAACAGCCAAGACCAGTATCAAGGAGTTGGGGACGGGAACATATGAAGAGCCCGGTGGCTGGATCAGACTGATGGCCTATCTAGTCCAGCATCCTGTTCTTCCATTGTTCAACCCGATACCTGTGGGAATCTTGGAAGAAGGACCTGAGTGCAACAGCAAACGGCACACAGAGGACTGGATGGGATAGAGGGAAGGAGTATTTCAACTGAATGAAACTCTAAGGGTGGTACTTAACTAAGTTTTTACTCAGAGTAAAGGTAAAGGACCCCTGACAGTTAAGTCCAGTCGCAGACGACTCTGGGGTTGCGGCACTCATCTCGCTTTACAGGCCAAGGGAGCCGCCGTTTGTCCGCATTGTTTTCCCAGGTCATGTGGCCAGCATGACTAAGCCGCTTCTGGTGAACTAGAGCAGCGCACGGAAATGCCGTTTACCTTTCCCGCTGAAGCGGTACCTATTTATCTACTTGCACTTTGACATGCTTTCGAACTGCTAGGTTGGCAGGATCTGGGACCGAGCAACAGGAGCACACCCTGTCGTGGGGATTCGAACCGCCGACCTTCTGATCGGCAAGCCTTAGGCTCTGTGGTTTAACCCACAGCGGCACCCGCGTCCTTGATAGCTGACTTCAATTATCTGATAAGTTTGAGCTCCTGACATGAGACCACAGCGCCACCCGCTTCCCTTATTTACTCAGAGTAGACCACTGAAATCGATGACCATGGGGCTGTTTAGAGCCATTGATTTCAATAGGTCTACACTGAGTAAAACCAAGTTAAACACACCCCTTGGACACAATGCTTTAAGAAAATCAGCTCTTTTCCCATAAGCTGCAATATTGAATTGACTACTGGCCAATATCTTGCGGAGATGATTTACAGAGGGCTCCTCCATTTATTTATTTAAAAAATCAAATTAAATTGATTGGATTTTTTAAAAAGAGCTCAGCTTACTATTTTTAATTTTTTTTAAGTCTGATTTTTAACAACACAGTCGTTTTTTGGGCTTCCGATCCATGCTTGGAAGGGTTCGTATGAAATAAAAAGTTTCCAGAAAGTCTGTCTCGCCTTCCCACCCATCTCTCAGCCCCAAAGAAGTCATCAAGATTCCAGGATGTGACTCACTCAGATGCTGGTCACTTTGGATGGAGATTTTCCTCCGGGATCAGGGGCTAATCCTTAAAGCTTCCTGGTTGCAAAGCCAGCCCAGCCACAGAGGCAAGCTAAGCAAGAGTCTGGGGTGCCAAAATTCCGGGGGTCACCTCTCAACGAAATGTGGGAAGGCGAAGAGATTTCTTTTCCCCCATCATTTCATTTCCCTTCCTGAATTCTATGGAGATTCCTGTGCATGCACCATTTGCCACATCTTTTCATACACCCCCCCCCCCCCGCAATCTTAATACGCTTGTTGTATCAGCAGTCCTCCTCTTGTTGTTCAACCAACATGAAGGAGAGCAGGATGCATCTCAGTGGCAGAACATCTGCTTTGCATGCAGAAGGTCTCAGGTTCAATCCCTGGCTTCCAGGTAGGGTTGGGAATGTCCCCTGCCTGAAACCCTAGCGAGCCGCTGCCAGTCAGAGTAGACAATACTGATCTAGATGCACTTTATAACACAGCTTTCTGTGTTCTTAAACAATGCAAAGGAAGAACATTCGTGCCAACTCTGAAATACAGTCACATCAAGATCTGCCCACCCAGTGTTCCATCCATAAGCAGCTGTGAACTGGTGATTTGCTCTAAAATATACAGGTGGATTTTCAATAATAATAATAATAATAATAATAATAATAATAATAATAATAATAATAATAATAATGTGTTACTTATACCCCGCCCATTTGGCCATGCTGCCCCAGCCACTCTGGGCGACTCCCAACTGAATATTAAAAACACAATAAAACATCAAACATAAGAAACTTCCCTAAACAGGGCTGCCGTCAGATGTCTTCTGAAAAGTCAGATAGTTGTTTATTTCCTTGACATCTGATGGGAGGGCGTTCCACAGGACAGGCGCCACTCATAGCTGTCAACTGTTCCCTTTTTTTAAGGGAAATTCCCCTATTCCGAATAGGATTCCTCGCAAGAAAAGGGAAAAGTTGACAGCTATGGTGCCACTACTGAGAAGGCCCTCTGCCTGGTTCCCTGTAACCTCACTTCTCGCAATGAGGGAACCGCCAGAAGGCCCTCGGCATGTACTAATGTGGAAACGAACTTTTGATTAGAAACATGAGAAATTGTCAGGTTCACCCATCACTTCCTACCAGGATCTCTGCCTTGCTGTTGGGAAAATCACGGACATTTTGCAGCAGGGCTTGCAAGGAAGGGAGTTGGCCAGCCAGATTTAGCAGTTCCACTTTGCCGTTTAATGGCCCAGAGGAAAGATCCATGAGCTACTGCACTAATGCGATCCCTAATGCCATTGCATTGCTGCGTTACCCTAAGCGCAGCAGCCTGAAACAGTAAAGGCTATCGATCCGTAACTGGCAGAGACTTTAATAGCTGGGAGCAAGACCACTGACTGCTCTGGCTTTTTGCAGGGATGCTTCCCAAAGCCTCAACGCCTGCATTTCTCCCCTGGGTTTTGGACTTCCAAAAGGCCCAGTCTCATTTCCGAAGCAGGAGCAAGGCATGTTTGAATCTCCCAATGTTCTCAGGGCGCCTTGGCTAACCTGGTGCCTTCCTGATGTTTTGGACCACAACTCCCATCAGCCCCAGGGAGCTGTAGTCTGAAACAGCTGGAGGTCAGTGAAGGCCTTTTCTTGGAGACGCTAGAGGAATTCATTTTTAGGGAGGAGCATGTAGAAGACCTCCTTACGCTGAGTCTATCTCTGAGATACGATATTTCCTGTGAAGATAAAAGTAAGGCGTGAGTCCTCATGGTTGTAAATAAAGGGCTGGTTTCAATAAACAGATAGGAAACTTTGACTGGATAGCTCAG